ACACCACAAATTTTAAAATTGCACAATAATTGTAAGTTAAAGTGATTTTTCCAACAGACATACATCATTTCTTATATGCTTTTTATTACATAAATAACATTTCTCAGAAACATCCATTATAAATATCTTTTCAAAAACTAAAGGAAGCTTTAGTCCATGTAAATCTTATGCAGCTGTATGTAGAAATGTTAGGTGTAATTCTGCTATAAAACTGTAGTTCAGACTTACACATCCAGCTTATACTTATGCTCCCAACTTTTCTAAATAAAGTAAATCATTACATATGTTATCTCATCCACATAAAGTTCAATTTTTACTTAATTAGTGAGTAATCAAAGTTGAATTTTCTAGTTAATTTGATTGAAACTGTCATCTTCATACAGTCACAACATTTCTAGCAAATTTACAGGTGAACAGTAACTTCATTACAGATACAAAATTGGATCTCAGAAGTTAAAACAGCTCAGGTTAAGATAGGAGTTGGCAGCTCGCTGCTTGCATGCTGGGGTTGCATGTCAGTACATAACGTGTAACATCCCATCTCTGGCTTATCATCAGAGTCACGCTACAGTTACCGATGTTCTCTCAAGAGCAGTTTCAGACATCTTGTCTTCTCTAAGGCATTAGGGATTTGAGGGGTATATATTTAAGCACAGAACTTCTCCTAACATTACTATGTTCCCACCAGTTTCAAAGAGAAAGTTAATACAAATGTTTCTTTAGGAACTGTCTTCCCTCTAGGCAATGATAGAAGGATATTTGTAAGTATACTTCCTTTTGCATTATTTATTTTATTTATTTGTATTTATTTATTTTATTGCTAGTTTTTTAGTAGTTATTTATTATTACATTAATTGTATAATTTTATTAGTTATATTAGTTGTATTAGCTGATTGGTGCTGCTATAGCAAATTAACAAATTTAGTGGCTTAAAACAAAATAAATATTTTTCTGTCTGAAGATTGAAAGTTTTTTGAAATGGGCTTTAGTGGGCTAAAATCAAGCTTTTGTCAGGGCTGTCTGTGTTTCTTCCAGAGACTCTGGAAAAGAGTGCCTTTCCTTGAATAAGAAAAATAAAGTTATAGATACCAGAAAGGATACAAAATTATTATCAAATATAGGTATATAGAAATTCAAAGGAATTAACTGAAAACCATTAGAATTATAATCAGTTAAATACCTGTTTACCAAATAAAATATTGAAATCATTTTTTCTTTTAAATATGAGAAATAATCATTTGGTGTATATAATGGAAAGTAAAGAGCCAGGCAACATAAGTCCTTTATTCCCGAAGAGGATCTGGGCCTCACGTCCCAGTGGCCACTACAGACTGCCCCCATCTTAGTCCCCATCATTGTCTTAGTCTTCTGCAGGGCGTCCCTGCTTCTGCCCTTGCCCCGCCGTGGCCAGTTCTCTTCATAGTAACTAGAGGAATCCGTATAAAGTAAGTTAGGTCGTTTCACTATTCTGCTGAAAACTTTGCAGTGGAGCTGCACTTCACTCCCAATAGAAGCCAAGATCCTGACAATGCCTTGCATAATTTGGCCTCTTTTCCTCTCTCACGTATCTCTTTCCACTCATCTGCTCCAGCCACACTTGGTTTCTCCAGTACATCAGGCACACTTCTGCCTTAGCACCGCTGCGATTATTGGCTTTTCTGCCTGGCTCTTCTCCCTGATATCTAAATGTTAATGTCCTCAAGTTCTTTCAAGTCTTCCATCAGATGATACCTTCTCAATGAAGTTCACCCTGATTGTTCTCCTTAAAATGGCAATTGCCCTTCCTTATCCCCCCTCTACTTTGTTCCTGTAGCACTTACCAACCAATATGTTATATAATGTAATTATTTACAATGTGTGCTATTTACCTCCCGCCCCCACCCCCCCCAAATCAGGCTCCTTAAGGGAGGTTTTCTGTTTGTCTGTTTGTCTGTTTCCTTTGTCATATCCCAAGCACCAGAGCACAGAGGGGTGAAACTGATTAGGAGTTGCAGCAGGTTGAATAAGTGTTGGTCACTCATCGATCTGTAGGAGTCAGGTAGGAGTGACTAGGGAACGAGAGAGGTGTCTTTCAAAAAGATAATGGCTGAGAATTTTCCAGAAATGAGGATGAACAAAATTTCACGGTGAAGACACATGGTGGTCTTAAGCCATAGAGATAAAAACAAACCCAAAATTAAATATACTGGGGGGAAAGCTACAGAATATGGAATAAAATTTAAAGTAGTAGGAATAGTAATAAATAGTGACTGCAGCTAACATTGTAATAATACTCACCATGTGTTAGGCACTGCTTTAAGCACTTTATGTATATTAATTAAGTCCTACCATAGACATTGAAGTAGGTATTAATATTTTATATGTATGACGTAGAGGAGAGGAGACTCTAAGAAGTCCAGTAACTTGTCTGGTATCACACATCTAGTAAGTGGTGGGGGTATATTTTGCACTCCAGCAGTTTAGTTTCAAAATAAATTTCAGATGAGCTAATGATTTTATTACCAAATGATTTTGTCAAATTGCTAAACAAAATTTCCTGATTTTGTCAAGATGCCCTAGATTATCCTATTGGTTGTTGTTTGGTTAGTCACAAAGTCATGACCGGCTCTTTGTGACTCCATGGACTGTTAACTCACCAGTCTCCTCTGTACATGGGATTTCCCGGGCAAGAATACTGGAGTGAGTTGCCATTTCCTTCTCCAGGGAATCTTCCCAACTCAGAGATCGAACCCAAGTCTCCTGCACTGGCAGGCATATTCTTTACCACTGAACCACCTGGGATACGGTGGCAACATGCAAATCCAAAAATCTCAGCAACTTAACACAACAGAGGTTTATTTCTTGCTTATGGTCATATTCATCCCAGATAGGATGGGGACGTAGCTCTGTCATCCTCACTCCAGGACCCAGGTTAATGGCATGACCACGGTCTGGGACACTGATGGTTTCTGTGCAGAGGGAAAGAGGGACCCTGGTTAACTTACTCTGGTTCTTAGAGCTTCCATTTGGAAACTTTCAAATGGCACATACCTATTTTGTTGAGTAAAGAGCAAATCTCATGGCCACACCTAACACCAAAGTGGACAAAAAATATAAGCTGACATATGTTCGCTAAGGGAAAGAACCAGAAATATTTGATGATAAACACCATTTACTTCATAGTTTAGGTGAATATGTATAGTAGACTGATAAATGCAGAAAGGGACTTTCCAAATGTGAAAGTATTGGTAGATTTGAGCATATAAAAATTAAAAATACCTGTCAAAGAAAATTAACAAATCATTGAGCAGTGCCATTTATAACATATAATTTGACCATAGGTTAGTGTCTTTAATATGTACAAATTTAAACAAATCAGTAATTTAAAAAACATCAATTTTAAAGTGGACTAAGATGATGAACTGGAAAATAATGAAAGAAATATAAATGGAAAAGTGGTCAGCCTCATTAGTAACTAAAGCACGGTGCCATTTTTTTACCTATAAGGTGATAATAAACCATTTTGATGAGAGTAAGAGAAAATGTGTACTATCTTACTGCTGTCCATGTTAAAAACAAAAGCAAAATCTTTCTAAAAGGCAGTTTTGCTATGTGTGTGAAGAGTTTTAGATTTAAAATGCCCATCACTTTGACCAGACAGCTAGTCCAGTTTTAGAAATTTAAGTAAAGGTGTACATAAATATTTAGCTATAAAGAAGTCCACTGCAGCATTATTTATAGCTGGGGAAAAGTGGAAATAATTAAATGTTCAACAATAAAAGGTTATATATTATTCATCTACACAGTGGAATATTCTGCAGCATTAAAAATGTGGGTAGAAAATACTTATTTTATAATATTGAAATAGAGTATAGGATAGTATGCATTATCCTATTTTGTTTGAAAATGTAAATATGTATGTATAAGAACAATCTGAAAGGATATACATTAAAATATTAACACTGGTGGGATTGTAGGTATTTTTTCTTTTCTTTGATTGTTTGTATTTCTAACTTTTTCTGATTTTTGTCATAAACATGTATTGCTCGTGTAGTCTTTAAAATGAGAATACATTAGTGGCAGTGGTCAGTATGCGTCTGGCCTTTGGGCCTGACTGATGCCCCGTCTCCATGTGTATCCTGTTTCTAAAGCTGGGCCCCTCCTCCTGTCCTGGAACCACGGTTCCTCTCTCCGTTCGTTCCTGCTGCTCGTCCAGGCCTACTTTGTGCCTGTGCTGTTAACTGGCCTTCTGCCTTTTCTGTTATTCCCAGATTCTTTTCTCAGTGACTTTTTTTGAATCCCACATCTTCCAATACCAGGACCCAGATGTCCTATCACTAATCCCCTTCCTGGGGATTGGTCCCCTGTGCCAAAATTCCCAGCTGAAATCAACAGTTCAGATCCTTGTATTGGACATCTTTGATTTTGACTCTCTCGTACCTGCTTTCACCTCCAGGTAGAGTGGTCAGGACACCCAGCTTCTAACATGTGTTGGACTGCCACTTGTTCTGCTGCCGCTCCTCTTCGAGACACCTTGAGTTGCCTTCCCCCCACCTCTGACACGCCCACTGCCAGCTGCCACATCCCAGCAATGAGCCAAGTTTGTTTCCTGAACTTTCCAAAGTGCTCTATGCCACTGTAGTTACCAAGGGTCCCGCCTCTACATTCTTTATCTTATTAAATTTCTCCCAGTTGGTTCTTTTTTCCAGATAGAAAATACGCTAATCAACTGGGTAATACAGAATCAACTGGTAGGTAACAGCTAGCATTTTCTCCTGTTGTTCAAGGTTTCGGGGACCTAACAGTGAGAAACCTCTGGATGAACTTGGGCCATCATACTTGGTTATCTACTGTAACACTTTCCACAGGTGTACCAGTAGAGGGCACTCTTCCCATTGGCAGGTACTGTACCGAACCTGAGGGCGCCTATCTACCTCAGTACCTCATAAGCAGACACAGCAATGAATTACCTGTTATAAAATAGTGCTTAATTGTTCGTTTTTTTCCAATGTTGTACCCAGGTATTACTTTGTTTTTCCCGAGATACATCTGTATTGAGTCATTTTGCATACAACAGTGCTTCACCACCGAAATCATACATAAGAGGTAAACTTTACTTAATTAAAGGAAGTATTCTTTAGCACTAACATAATCATACCAAGACTGCTCATTTTATAGCGTATATTATGTTGTCACAGTTTTTTATTGTAAATTATTTAAAAATATGTCTCTCAAGTTATTGTAACCATCCTTTTACTCGCAAGCAACTTGTCACAATTCACCGGAAAGTGGATCCCCAAAATAGCGCTTAAAGTTACCTTCTTTATTTGTCCTGTTTGCTCTATCCTCTGTTGCAGTTTTTGTCATATATGTTGATTTTTATTCCCCCTTCTCACTATGACTTTATCATTTGAATTTGCTTTTTCTACTTTTTTTGCCTTCTTTATTCCTTCTCTCAATGTTACACCACACTTAAAAGTTTGATATAATTTACATGCAATTAGCATTCTGATTTCTATTTAGTGCTTTCTTATCTTTATCACTAGCTGCCTACAAGGTAATGCTATTTCAGTATCTTGCTGTCACCTGTCAACTAAGCTAATTGTCAGCTAAAAGACTTTCCCCTGATTTCTCATTTTTATTAAGTAGTGAATTCCCAGCACTGAAAGCCTGTAAACCTATTGTGTATGGTTTTTCTGCTGTTCCCATAAAGAAAGAAGCTGTTTGCCTGTATCTTCTAAGTCCCGACTGTCTGCGTGATTACCACACCCCCTGTCCTAAGACAGGCTCACATTCCCAGTGCTAGGATCAGGCTCCCCCCAAACTTGGGGGCTCTCTCAGTTACACTGCTTCTACACTGAATTGATAGAAACATTTGGTTTGCTTGTTTCTTTAACATCATCTGCTGAAAACTGATTGTAGAACTTAATTATCTAAGGGACTCACCTCTAAAGTCAGCCAGGATTTTAAGGCCCTGTCTTAACCTACCTAACTTTGACTCCCTGTTTATTCCACATTACCGCATATTCATTCTAAATCTCTATATATTCTCTGCACATGGAAGGACTCCTTTTCCTTCACCCCCAAAATCATAGGTTCTTGAAGGACTAGTCTATATCTCACAGTATCAGAAAAACAGATTATTTCCTTCTATGTAGGGAAAAACCCAGTTCTTTCCTACTGTATTTCCCAATAGTGTGTTTACTATTCACACAAAACACTTCACTTCTGACACTTTTGTTTACATGTATGTGGGAGTTTTGCCCCACAATAACAAGCAAGTCTTGGCACCACCTGGGTATCCTACAGTTTAACTCAATTCTAATACTGTCTACCTAGAGATGGTGTCAGCTCCCATAGATTAGGGACTCAGTCCCACAATACTGCCCCACTCCACGCGCATGCACACACACACACACACACACAGACACACTCTCACACACCAGTCACAAGCATAGGTTGTCGCCTGTGCTTCTTACCAACTGGCTATAGGTTGGAGGTTCCAACAAACCCCTCTTTGGGTTTGATTAATTTTCTAGGATGGCCCACAGAACTCAGGGAAACATGTACTTATATTTACCAGCTTGTTAAAGGATATGATAAAGAATACAAATGAACAACCAGATGAAGAGATACATAGAGCTAGCTCTGGGAGGGTCATGAGAACCTAAATTTCTGTCCTGTGGAATTGGGATGTGTTATCTTCCCTCTGTTGACCTGTTTGCCCACCTGAAAGCTCTTTGAACCCCCTAATATTGGGGTTTAAGTCTTCCTCACATTTTTTGTAAGTAGCTTAGTTATGGCTGCCTCTTTGCGACCCCATGGACTGTAGGCTCCTCTGTCCATGGAATTTTCCAGGCAAGAATACTGGAGTGGGTAGACATTCCCTTCTCCAGGAGATCTTCCCAACGCGGGGATCAAACCCGGGTCTCCCACATTGCTGGCGGATTCTTTACCGTCTGAGCCACCAGGGAAGCCCACATAGGCATAATCAATTATTAAATACCATTTCCAGTCCTTCTGGAGTGTCGGGGGTGAGACTGAAAATTCCAAGCTTCTAATCATGGCTTGGTCTTTCTGGCGACAAGCCCCCATTCAGGAGCCCACTCAGGTCACCCCAATAGAATAAAAGATACTCTTAATGCTAGTTTCATTTAGGAATTGACAAGGGTTTCAGAAGCCTTGTATCAGGGACAGCATCAAAGACAAATACTAGCCTAAGAGATGCTCCTAGTGCTCCTAGGTTTGATAATATCAAGGATTTCAGGAGCTCTGTGCCAGCAACCAGGGGCAGAGACCAATTATACATTCTCTGTTACCTCTTACTCACCAAGTCCACTAATCTCTCATCAATTTCCCTCTCCTCTAAACCTCTAAGACACTTAAAGCATGTGCCAGAAAATCCAGCAAACATATCTTAATGTTCCCTGTTTTAGTCTGGATTATAAGCCCTGTGGTTCAAGGACCATTTTACATCTATTCTGTTTGCCTCTTGGCACCTAGCCCAGTGCTGAGTACTCAGCAGGCATTCTCTATCATCCATCCCTCTAGATACCTATCAACCTACCATCTATCTCTCATTTCATTTTCTTCTTACTCACAAGATCAATCCTTGTTGTCTCCACCTTAGCCTAAACTGCTTATCCAGTTCTCCATTTTTTCTCTGCCACCATTCCCAACAAGAAATACAAAAATTGTTTTTAAAAAAATTGTTTTAATTAAAATTTTGCCTTAAAGTCAAATGCAAAAATGCATATGTCTTTTCAGTAGACTCAACAGTGTTGGAAAAAATGTCAAGATAAACATTACCTACTTTTTCACACTTCAGTGGAAGGTGGGAAAAACCTCAGACCTTTAAATGTTTTGAGGGAAAAATTTTTAAACTCCCTTAAACATTTAGTTATGGTGAATATACTTTAATTTTCTGAGACAATAGTGATTTCAAATATTTATTCTGTGACTCAGACAGTAAAGAATCTGCCTGCAGTGCAGGAGACCCAGATTTGATCCCTGGGTCAGGAAGATCCCCTAGAGAGGGGAATAGCAACCCACTCCAGTATTCTTGCCTGGAGAATCCCATGGACAGAGGAACCTGGCGGGCTGTGGTCCATAGAGTCACAAAGAGTTGGACATGACTAAGCAACTTTCACACTTCAGACCATATTAATTGTTTAAGGACTCAGAAAATATGACCACTGTTCAGTGATAGATATTTAATTTAAACTCTTCTGCCCATTGCATACAAATGGTAAATTAATGAGGTATTACAAAGCTTAGATTTACTTTAAAGACAAAAATAAAATTACTTATAATTAATACAACAATTCTGTGCTTACAAATAGATGCTGCTCTTCCTAAGTGCTTAAGGAGCTTGAAAACGTTTTTTAAATTATTTGCATTACTTACCTTGTACTTAAGTTTTCATTATTAACCTTCATTGATGAAAGGATTTGCTGATACCAAAAGACTGGCTGGCATATTTTCAAATTAATTTCTTATCATGAAATGAAAGGAGATTGTACTATAGTAGTTTTTAAAATTCCATTAATTATTAGTATATTCACAAAATTAGTTAATTTTTAAAGTTTTTTCTATTTTATTTAGCAATATTGGAACTCTGTGTGTTTTTTCTCTTACAGGAAAACTAGGACTAGAAGAATATGCTGTCTTTTATCCACCAAATGGTAAGAGTAATGTTATTGCTTCCTCTAGTGGGAAATAGGAAAATTACAACTTTTATAATAGGAATGTGACTTTATTATTCTCTCTTTAAATGAACAATAATTTATCATCTAAAATAAACCTTCTGTAGAATAACTATTCTAATAAATTTTTCCATATTTGTGGTAGGTTTGTGCTGAACTGTGCATAGCCTTTCTGATTTCCCTTGAGACCAGTAAGAGTATTTGTGAGCAAGCTAAGAAGACTCAGGTGTCTCAGTGCAGGGCACTTAGCTTTCCTCTGAAGGACACTAAGTCATCTGTCCAGTACCTTCCTGTGACTTTACTGGAGCAGCGCCCTAATGAGTGGATCGCCGTGTGTTGCACTTTGTTGTTCTCAGGATTTGACAAGTATGGTGGTGGCAGTGGTGATTTAGTCGCTAGGTCGTGTCTGACTCTTGAGATCCCATGGACTGTAGCCTGCCAGGCTCCTCTGTCTATGGGGTTCTCCAGGTGAGAATACTGGAGTGGGTTGTCATTTCCTTCTCCAGAGGATTTTCCCCACCCAGGAATCAAACCCAGGTCTCCTGCCTTGCAGGCAGATTCTTTACCAACTGAGCTAGGAGGGAAGCCTCTTGACAAGTGTAGTATTTATGAAATCAAAAATATTTCAAGAAATGTAACTCCAAAAATGTGTATTTTGGTTAAAGTAATCAAATGTATGATGACCTCCTTTTGAAATTCTTAGTTTTAAAGATATGCTTCTTGGAAAAGCACTATATAGCAGTCCTTATTATGATAATACAAAGTGGCATCCTGAAGAAGTTCTTTTACTCCAGCAGAGTTAAGAACATGGGCTTTGTAATCCTGTAGACCTGGGTTCAGATGCCAGTTCTTTCAGCTCCCCCTATAACCTTGGGTAAGTTACGCATTTCGCCAGACCTCAGATTCGTCATCTGTAGCACATGGGTAACAGACTAAAGGAGGTACACTGTAGGAGACAGCACAGTGCTGGCTGCGTAGCGAGTGCCCAACAAACGCGACTTACACGCCGCACTTAGCTTCTTCAGGGGCCAGCCGCATGGAGCTCGCGGGCGGTGCCGGGAAGGTGCAGGCTGCCTCCTTGCACCTCCTGGGGTGCTGGCCCACTTCTGCCCCGGGCTGCCTGCCTCTGCTGCTCCTGAGCTCTGGAGCCCCAGGGGCCCGCCCCAGCCTCCTGCTGCTGCTCTTCTTCCTTTCCCCGGGGTCCCCTTGCACCTCCTGGGGTGCTGGCCCACTTCTGCCCCGGGCTGCCTGCCTCTGCTGCTCCTGAGCTCCGGAGCCCCAGGGGCCCGCCCCAGCCTCCTGCTGCTGCTCTTCTTCCTTTCCCGGGGCAGCTCTGCTTTTCAGTCATTTTCCTAGGACTTCGTATCTGCTCTCTTGCTTCTGTTTGTGCATTGTTCTTCTATTTGTTAATTCAGTTCTGACTTCTACATTATTTAACTCAAACTTAACATGTCTCAAGCCAAAGTAAATTAATTTTCAAATTTATAAAAGAAAAAAAAAAGCAAAACTAAATTTAAAAAAACAGAACAACAAAAACAAAAATAGTGAACTATTTCTCTCTCAGTTAAGTGTGCCTGCCAGTCATTCAAGGCCTAACATCTGGTAGTCATCGTGATTCTTTTCAGTTTTGGATCCTCTTCCTCCAACAAATCATGAGGATATTCCAATTTTATCTTCAAAACCCATCTGGGACCCTCGTGGCATCATCATAACTACTACCTTGCCCTCAGTCAGCCTTTAGACACCAGTAGACGCAGAGTACATCATGAGAAACGCTGGGCTGGAGGAAGCACAAGCTGGAATCAAGATTGCCGAGAGAAATATCAATAACCTCAGATACGCCGATGACACCACCCTTATGGCAGAAAGTGAGGAAAAACTAAAGAGTCTCTTGATGAAAGTGAAAAAGGAGAGTGAAAAAGTTGGCTTAAAGCTCAACATTCAGAAAACTAATATGGCATTCAGTCCCATCACTTCATGGCAAATAGATGGGGAAACAGTGCAAACAGTGGCTGACTTTATTTTTCTGGGCTCCCAAATCACTACAGATGGTGATTGCAGCCATGAAATTAAAAGACGCTTACTCCTTGGAAGGAAAGTTATGACCAACTTAGGTAGCATATTAAAAAGCAGAGACATTACTTTGCCAACAAAGGTCTGTCTAGTCAAGGCTATGGTTTTTCCAGTAGTCATGTATGGATGTGAGAGTTGGACTATAAAGAAAGCTGAGCACTGAAGAATTGATGCTTTTGAACTGTGGTGTTGGAGAAGACTCTTGAGAGTGCCTTGGACCGCAAGGAGATCCAACCAGTCCATCCTAAAGGAGATCAGTCCTGGGTGTTCACTGGAAGGACTGATGCTGAAGCTGAAACTCCAATACTTTGGCCACCTCATGTGAAGAGGTGACTCATTGGAAAAGACCCTGATGCTGGGAAAGTTTGAGGGCAGGAGGAGAAGAGGACGATAGAGGATGAGACGGTTAGATGGCATCACTGACTCGATGGACATGGGTTTAAGTAAACTCCGGGACTTGGTGATGGACAGGGAGGCCTGGCGTGCTGCAGTTCATAAGGTCACAAAGAGTCGGACACGACTGAGCGACTGAACTGAACTGAACTGAGACAGGCTTTTCTAGCCTTGTTCTGTGTTTTGCAGTGCTGTCTGAGTTATATATCTAAAAGGAAAAGCTGAAATTTGTCATTTTCTCCCTAAAGTTTTCTTAATGGCTCCGTGTTTCTTTATAAGCAATATCCAAGCCTCTCAGCAAGCATAAGAAGGTCCATCTTGACTCTGGCCCCTATTCAGTCTAACTTCTAGCTTCATTTCTCACAATTCCCTATTTTACTTTTTAGAAAAGCACAAAATATCAAATTAGTAATTCTTTACACAAGCGTCCTCTCACAGAAGCAGTCTGCTGCTTCCTGCCTCGTTGCCTCTCCTGTTCCTGCGATTGCAGTAGCCCACTCAACCTTTCTTCGCCTGCTGTCCCCCAGGCCCAGCTCAGGCGTGGTCCTCTCCAGGAAGCTTTCCCTGGCCCCAGGCGAGGTTAGGGCCCTCTTCTAGACTCTCATAGTGCCCACTGTGAGAATCTTTGCTATCTCTTACTATATTTTCTTGGCATCGGCTGTTTATGCTTTATCACCCCCTCTGCATTGCAGGCCTTGTGAGGTTCAGGATTGTAGCATTCACTTTTGTTCCTCCAGGATCTCGTTTTAGTAGGACTTTAAGGAGCATTTAAAAAGCCAAATTAGAGGCTTTTAAATTTTAACATGTATGTGTAACCTTTGTTACATCTATCTCCCCAGAAACTTAATTTTATAGTTATATAAGGATTGAGAAATAAAAAATAATTATCACCGAAGGGCCAAATGAGATGTCCATGGAATCAAGTTCCTTTCCTCTATTCATAGAAGAGCTTTTCCAACTTAGCTTACCATATATTAGCTTTTATTTGACACACATGCCTAACAAACTTGGTTTACGGGGTTTTATACCCCTGTAAAAAAAAAAAAAAAAAGGAAGAGTGAAAAGAAGCTGATATAGATTGGAGAATGACTAACAACAGTAGAAGTGAAAATCAGAGACCTCACAAAGGAAAATATAAAAGTTATAAAACAGCATATGAAAAAGCACACCCGCAAATCAGTCTGGGACCATTTTATATAAAAGCCAATAGCCCTCTTCCCTTTAAAAAAGTATCATTAGGTTGTAACACATTATATAGTAATTTGAGACTTTCATAATGAGCTTAAGGCACCAAGAAATAAAATATTGTTACAGCAACAATAGTAATAGTCATCAGTATCAGCTCACATTTTCCATGCAGAACTATGTAGTGGGGAGTGCACTAAGTACGCTACATGTATTAATTCATTTAATCCTTAGAAGAACCTTCTCAGGCAACTACCAGTATTATCCCTACTCACCGATAGAGGAGCTGAGGCACAGACTGTTAACTTGCCCAACTGGCGAGTGGCAAAGCCAGGCCTTGAATGCAAGCTCTTTGACTTCAGAAGCAGTATCCTTTTTTTCTTTTTAATTTTATTTAGTTATTTTTGGCTGTGCTGAGTCTCCATTGCTGTGCGGGCTTGTTTTCCTAGTTGTCGCAAGTGGGAGCTGCTTTCAGGTTGCCGTGTGTAGGCTTCTCATTGCAGTGGCTTCTCTTGCTGCAGAGCGCAGACTCTAGGTGCTTCAGTAGTTAGAGCGCATGCAGTAACTGGCCCACGGGCTTAGTTGCTCTGGAGCATGTGGGATCTTCCCAGGCCAGGGATTGAGCCCTGTTCTCCCGCAGCGGCAGGCAGATTCTTTACCACTGAGCCACCAGGGAAGTGCCAGAAGCAATAATCTTAATCACCACATCCTACTACCTCAGAAAAATGTTACTGAATTCATTGAGTATCTTTTAGAAAATTAAGGAGTTTATATATTGAAAAGGTGTGTGTGTTATCACTCAGTTGTGTCCTATTCTTTGCGACCCCGTGGACTGTAGCCAGTCAGGCTCCTCTGTCCATGGAATTCTCCAAGCAAGAATACTGGAGTGGATTGCCATTCCCTTCTCCAGAGGATCTTTGAGACCCAGAGATCTAACCCAGGCCTCCTGCATGCAGGCAGATTCTTTACCGTCACCATCTGAGCCACCAGGGAAGCCCCATTGAGAAGGTGGTTGTTCAGTTGCTCAGTCGTGTCCGACTCTTTGCGACCAAGGACTGCAGCACGCCAGGCTTCCCTGTCCTTCACCATCCGCCAGAGCTTGCTCAGACTTATGCCCATTGAGTCGGTGATGCCATCTGACCATCTCATCCTCTGTCATCCCCATCTCCTCCTGCCTTCAGTCTTTCCCAGGATCAGGGTCTTTCCCAGCGTCAGGGTCAGCATCAGGGATTGAACCTGCTCTCCTGCATTGCAGGCCGACTCTTTTACTGCCTGAGCCACCAGGGAACTGAGATTGAAAAGGTTATGTGTATGTCTTAGGTTCTAGA